TGGTAGGCTATGAAGTAATGAGTAGGACACCCATTTTAAGCTGGGCATGGTAGCTCTTGGGAGGTGGGGGCAAGAGGATCAGGAATTCAAGAGCAGCCTGCTCTATAATGATTTGGTGGGCACCCTGAGTTATATGAGTCCCCAGCTCAAAAATAAAAGCAAGAGGCTGGGCATTGGTGATGCACTCCTTTATTCTCCGCACTCAGGAGGCAGAGGCAGACGGATTTCTGTGAGTTCAAGGCCAGTCAGGTCTACAGAGTGAGTTCCAGGACAGGCTCCAAAGCAATATAGAGAAATTCTGTCTCCAAAAACAAACAAACAAACAAACAAAAAAGCAAGACAATTGCTCTTGGGATGCCCACAACTGTTGCAGATAAGAAAGAACTCAAGGAACTGGGATTATTTTTCCTACAGGCATAGTCAGGATAGACATTCCTCAAGTAGACACTGTAAAGGTCTGGGGTCTTAGAAGACCGTGAGGGATTGCCTAGGATAAAAAGGCTCTGGGAAAACTGACAGGTCAGAGTCAGCAGGGAGACCTTATCTAGTATCCACTGGATCAAGAAAGGATACAGTTGTCATAGCCAAGGGGAACGTCACAACCCTGAAGGCTGGAGTTCTACCCTGGTCATCCATTTATACCACAAATATGGCATTTCTACCTTCCAAAATGTGACTACCAGTAGCAATGAATTGTTCAGCAGACAGTAGAGAAGTCTTGATAGCCTTTCTTCCCAGCCCCGCCCCCCCCCCAACCGGTCCTGAACTTCCTGGTAAATGTCTTCATGCTTACGTCTTTGGCCCCATAGTTCCAAAATAATAAAGCAGAATATAAGATGACGCAGACACTCAGTGTCTCTTTCTGACCTACCTGCTTTCCTCAGCCTCTGTCTGAAATGTCAGGCTCTGCTCCTTGGGGAACTAAATCCTGAGGAAATGGGGTCAGAGCTAAAGGAGCAGAGCAGCCTGAGAGGGATTGGAAAGGAGGGTTAAGGAAATGAATGAGGTTATGGGAACAGAAGGGGGGGGTTCCTATCCCTTGGCAACTTTTCCCATTCTGGTAGCTTCTCTCTCCCTGTATCCCTTCCCTTACTCCCACAATAACCAGCTGGCCTGGATTTTGACCTTCTGTATTCTCTCTGACACATTTTGTCCCTTGCTATGGCCCATACATTCTGTCTTCTTTGTTAGTTCTTCTTCACTTTCCCTCTCCCTAACCCTCATTTGGCACTCAGTAAGAAGCTACTTTTCTTGTTAAACCACAACCGTTGTTTGTTTGTTTGTTGTTCTTTTTGGTTAGTTAGTTGGTTTTTGTTTTTTGTGGGTTTTTTTTTTTTTTGTCTTGTTTTTCGAGACAGGATTTCTCTGTGTAGCCTTGGCTGTCCTAGAACTCACTCTGTAGACAAGGCAGGCCTCGAACTCACAGCAATCCACCTGCCTCTGCCTCCCGAGTGCTGGTATTAAAGGCCATCATGCCTGGCTCAGGTTACTCTTTTCAAAGTGTATTCCCTTCAGGTACTGCTGTAAGGTCCTCTTGGCATTGTTAAAGGTCACTTTGAGAGATACAAAACCTGAAGTTTCAAACATAGAATACCTAGGATGGCCTTTCTCTGTCTCTCTCTAAAGATTTACTTTGTGTGTATGTGCCCTGACATGCTTGTGGAGGTACAGAGGACAACTGTGGAAGTCAGTTCTCTCCTTCCATTATGTGGGTCGAATCTGCGATCAAATCCAGACTTGATGGTATTTGCTGAGTCATCTCCCTGGTCCTGGGAATATTTTTGCTATTCCATAAGCTCAGAGTATGACACATAGTAGTCATTTCAACAAATCTGTGAAGAAGAAATTGCTGGCAATGATACTAATAAGGATGACAATGAAAACAATAACAAGCAAGAAGGTGCTTTGTAATGGGACGCATCTCCCCTTATCATCACACAGCCTTTCCAGAGCCTTGACTTTGGACTCTTTCATTAGTAGAAGCAGACAAGTGCCAATCTTCATATGAGGTCCTTATCCTGCCATCATGCCCATGCTAGGGGAAGCTATCAGGTAGAGAGAAGTGAACAAGAGACAGCTGTTTGGGCATGATACCTAATAGAGGACAAGAGTTATATTTGTGCCTGCACTTCTATGCCTTGAACTAGGGTCAACTTCAGTGTCTTTTGCCAGCAACTTATCAGGAAAGACCATAGCTTTCTGTACTCAGAAGATCCAACTCTTCATTTGTGCCACCTTTAGTGACTCTTTCTATCATCCAGCTTCTCAATACTGGTACCTTGGCTTTGGAAAAATGTTTAAATTTTGTTTCTTTGAACTGTCTATCTAACTTCTCTCTCCAAGGCAAAATTACATCTATAAAGTAATGTGTCAATTTATTCTTACAAGTCTGTAAGGTTGATGGATGGGGGTGATTCTTGCACAGAGAGAAGAAGCCACTTGCCTAATGTGTTTCAGAATCCCTCAATTTAAGGCTTTTATCACTAACACACACTTAAAATACTCACCCAATAAAAACTACTCATCATGGCCTGAGACTATCTAACGATCTATATACTCGTGAGGAGTCCTAAAACAGTATACACTATCATACAAATATTCAAGAGACAGTTTCAGTGGTCAGGAAGTTGAGTGTTAGTTGGGAAAAATGTTTGAAGCTGGAGTCAAAAACCTAGGCTGTAAGTTCTGCGTCTGCCGAAAGATCCTGGGCAGCCACTGTAACCTAACTCTTTTGTTTCTTTCTTTTTTTTTTTTCAAGACAGGGTTTCTCTGTGTAGCTTTGGAGCCTATCCTGGCACTCACTCTGGAGACCAGGCTGGCCTCAAACTCACAGAGATCTGCCTGCCTCTGCCTCCCAAGTGCTGGGATTAAAGGCGTGCACCACCAACGCCTGGCCAGGATGTTTTTTAAAGTGTACAAAATATTGAACTAATGGAAATTGAGAACACAAGCTGCTCCCATCTCCCCTCTCCCATGCCAGAAATCAAACCTAGGGCTTTGAGCATGCCAAGCAAATGCTGTTCCTCTGACCTCCATTCCCAGACATAAGATGTATAATTTTTAAGATGAGCTGACTTGATGCTGCCTGGGTTTTAATTCAGATCATCAGGTTCTGTTCATTCCTATCTGTATTTGATAAGATTGTCCTCTTCATGGAAAGGGGATAGTTCTCTTTAATTGTAAAGAATCTGTATGTCAGATCTTGAAGCAACAAACACAGTAGTAGTGTCTTTGCAAAGAAAACCTTTCTACAGAGTGTTCTATTGCCTCCATTTGTTCCACGTTCATAGGCTGATTTTAATATCCAACAACTCTTGAATTCCCACTTTGAGTATTACCTGCTTTCAGTATTTAATCCCACAGTGACCCTCATAACACACTCCCCGTTTACTTCCTCTCCTCTGATTAGTAAGTGTGGCTCCAGGGGAATGCCTTTCTTTTAACACTAAACTCAGCAAAGACTGAAATAGAAAGACAAAATGGTAGCAAGGTCAAAATTAGAATTCATAACTAAATATAAATCTAGAGGGAATTATCTAATTACTTGGATGGTCCCTTCTCACTCACAACTGGGGTTGATTGACTTTGTGTCTGCCATATATAGAACAAAATGCCAAGGGTAATCTGTTGTTTTTTTGAGAAGCAATAGGTTTTAATAATATCTTAAATGCTTTTCCCACTCCTGCAAATGTATGTATATATATATATATATATATGTATATATATATATACATATATATATATGATATATAAACATATATATATATGTTTATATATCATATAATTTTCACAACTGCAAGTGTTCTCTTTGGGGACCATCCGTTCTTACTTTGACATGTAGGTTAGAGAGCACTGAGCTGAGAAGACCAAAATTTCCTAATTGAGTCAGTATCAAACTTGTGCAGATTTATCAGTCACTTTGTTTTGCTAGTTAGAGCCTGGATGGCTCTGCAGGGACGTTCCCACCTCCCTTTTAAAGTTTCAAATTAATTTACAGGCCAACAGCTGCTTTTTATTGAGATTGGAACGGCCTCAGGAAGGGACTTGGAAGCTTAAAAGACAAATGTGAGTGTCACATGAGGCAAGGTAGCCAGTAAATGTACGAATTTAATGCAAAGCTCATGCAAATAATAGGCAAACCTTGTATAAATATATAGAATCTCAGTTTGGAGTTTGCTAGCAGCAGTGAAATCTCATGAGAATTGAAAAACTAATGTTTTTAGGTTAAACTAAATGTAATGCGTTTTGAAGTTAAGTTTTCTCAATCCCTCTAAAACTGCTTAGTTTGACACTACCCCATATAAAGATTTCATTAGTGTTTGATTCCAACCCACATCAAGCTCCGCCCCCTGCACAGCTTGACATCACGTGGCAAACATTTGCATACTACCTGGGAGTGGGTGTGACGATCTTCCTCTTTGAGCCTTCTCACTGGCGGTGCCGGAGAACCAGCCCTTTACCGAAAGGACCAATCGGCAGCCTTAAGGACGTTAGGAAAAAAAAAGAAAGAAAAGAAAAGAAAAGCGGGAGGGTGGGGTCTTGTGTTGATGGCTGAGCACACAGACCAATCATCCTCGGAATAGGAAGAGCCCCTCCGTAGATTGGTTGAAGGGAGGTGCTGGAACTCTGTAAGCCAATTGTAACTCCGGGCCGAGGGGCCGGTCCCCGCCCATAGGGCAGATAAGTAGCGGCCGCGGGGGTTGGGGGCTGTGTGGGGCTCGCCGTGGGGCTGAGGCAGCAGGTAGCCGGGTGGGCCATGTCCGGGGCCGCA